CACAACTGTGAAAATTACTGCACGCGCGAGTGCATAAAGCAAAATTTATGCATTTATTTAATGACACTTAATAAGTTTTTATTTTACAAGTACTGTACAGTACAACAACAGTAATATGATCTATTGGCAATTCGATTTCAATTCGCGGGGGCCTGAAGTCTTTTATGCTTAAGAATTATAGGAAATTCTTAGGAAATTCCAAGGTTGCGTTTCACTTCCGAGTAACGGGCGGAGGTATGCAGTCTCTGAGTGCCCTCTAGTTTTAAATGTTGTTTTTCAAGTGGCCATTTGTCTACAACTATTATTATATTAAAATAGATATTAATAACTACTTGAAGCTACTTGACCACTAGTACGATATGCAATAGTGTTACAGAATACAGGGCCTTAAGTGTTTCAACACCATGTATCATATTACTTTAAATATTTGCTTTAATTAATAACTGGTTTACCCATGCAGAACGTCTCCAGCGACTGTTTGAATTTCTGGCTATAATCCCATTATTAGCGTTGCTCTTTATAAAAAATCAGAAAAGAGTGACAGTCTTTAATTGTTAAGCAAAGAAGCTTGGAAATTTTGATATTTGAATTTCGAATGATTGAACAATGGTGTTTGCTATATAGACCTATATTTTGCAATTGTGCTTAGATGGCAATTTTCAAGAAGCCAGATATGCCAAATTCAAAAGCAGTATACCATATTGCCTCATTAGAAGACTTTATTAGGACTCTACTGACATGGGTATGAAACTAAATAGTTTTCTTGTGGAAAATATTCTTACTTACTGAATCGACTATGTATAGTCCACAGTCCATGATACTAAAATATTAGCACGTTTTTGTAATATCTGCATAGTCGATTGAGTAATTAATAATCCTATATATATATATATATATATATTGGATTGCAGACGATAACAATTAATCGACGACTTACGCTTTAGAAAAATTTTTAATCTGGGAATAACAAAGGATATTTTCTGAAAGAAGTTATCAAAATTAGAAAAACTGCAAAGTTTGGTTGCGAAATGTTGTAAAATACGGAAAATATAGAGATCGGAAGTTGGCAA